ATTGATAAATTCGCTAATTCACGACAGAACAGTTGGTGTATTATTTGCTTGATGATTGCTCACCGGAGCGATGCACTACGAGCCGATGACTTCACACATCGAGGAGGTATCCGATTGAACGGATGCTACAACAAATTTTGCATTGATTCAAAATTGAGATCGTTATATGACGTGTTCAAGACAATGTTACTGTTAGTATCGTGCAACAGTTTCGGGTGCATGCCGAATGATGTTGAATTTGTTGGATTTAAGCGATCACGTTCGATGGCCGTAATATTCGTCAACTAATGGTTGAAGGCTTACATGAACTTGTTGATTTCCTATTGGTGATGCAATTCGATGACACTCGTGTTTACATGGCGATTTGCTCACTTTTCTCGTTGATCGTTTTCTGTAACGCTTCAACTCCTGTGAGCTTTTAGCATTCGAATCATTTCATTTTGTTCATAATCTTGAGTTTGAATAATTTCGTTAAGATGTATTTCTCAACTGATTCCAGCGTAGATCATTTGGCTAGTAGTTGAATTTGCTCATCTTTCTTCGAATGCCTTTAGGCTTTATACGAACAATGTTTGGCGCAGTTCGTTGCGATGCGCGAAGTCTACTCGGATCCTCTCCGAGGTAAAAAAGCCAATATCGACGATGTGGTGCGCAATTGCCTCAGTCTACTTCATCGAGTTAGCGATTTGCTCTATCTGTGATTGCAATCATGTTGAAAATTTCACAATCAAAGTTGTGAGTTTCAAGTTAAACTGGATGGAGCATTATCATTCATGAAATGATTTGCGAAACTGAGAAATCTGTTTGAATCTAAATTTTATATTTGAAATCACAAGTGAATGTTAGTGAAACGAACCAGTAGAAGTGTCAGAAATGATTGAATGCTCTTCTAGTTGATCCGAATAAAACCCATCTTGATTCGGATCTCTCGGATGAAAGAACACCTCTTATTTTTGTAGCAGTCATTCAGCAGACATTTCAACGAATTGTTGAATTTCAGCAGCGTTTAGTAGTCGATCAAACACAACGAGTATCATTCAATAAATCTCATCTTATCGTGATGAAAGATCTGGTTAGACTCGCAACGAGTCCGTATGAAATTGTAAGCGTTTGCGGCAACTTTTTGCAAATTTAGAGCCTGTGTTCTCAAAAATTCAATTTCCCTCAAACTGAATTGGAATTCAATGCGTTGTTCAGTTGTAGCAAACTACCCAAATTGGAGTACTGTTTCAGGTGCGTCGTGCCGCAGGTATAGTGCTGGCGAGTTTTTTCCAAACGTTCCAATTTTCATATATACTACTGTTGGAAGACGTTCTCAAATTCATGGATCCCACAGCAAAGAATGTCTCTGAAAAAGATTTTAAGGTATCATATCGCACAATAGATTCAGTGAGGTGAAAATATTGTACATACAGATGAAGATGAAAAAAGACGAAAAATATAGATTGCAAGCTCAAGTACTTGTCAGATTGGATATGAGAAACTGCTTATTCCAAAGTAACTGCTAAAATATGACATTTGAGATATGATCAATATCCATATTTAATCATATTGGAAGCATAGTAGATATTCATTACATGTGGAGGGGGTTTAGCTCAGGGGTAGAGCGCTCGCTTTGCATGCGAGAAGTCGGGGGTTCGAATCCCCCATCCTCCAGATACATTTTTGTCATTATTCATCCTAAGTTTCTGTCGTATCAACTTTCGTTTTTGAGTCATACGAGTTTTATCAGACTCTGCTGGACGTCTGAAAGTTTTTAGAAATGTTAAAAATCAAGTGAACAGCATAGAGTCCTCTCGATATACTATTTCTGCAGGGTGCTCTACAAGTTCTGTGTACTGGCCAGTTCTTTATTGAACGTGATTGGCCAACACTGAATCGCATTCTTCCGGAACTGGTCAAGGCGAATTACGCGGACAAACCGGATATCCTTGAGATGCTTAAAGCCATTGAGGTGCTTGCAGTATCCGGTTGGAAGTGGATGCCAATCAAAATTGAGGTCAGCCACAATCTCATTCATGGAAGATTTACATTCATGACCGAAGTGCCGAATTCGATAATTTCAATAACTAATCTTATGATTCCAATTTGACAATAATATGATAATCATGATAAATAGAGTTGTTCATTGACTTGTAGATATCAAAAGAGTTGGTTGCGTTGAGCAAAAACTTTTGGGATGTTTCGAAGGGAACAATCAAACCGGAATATCCGACGATATCAGCCGAACGAGAGGCCAAGGCTATCGCTAAGCTTGCTGAAAAATCGAAACGCAACGAAAAGTAAGTCATTCAGAAGTGAGTCAAAACCGAGGGAATATCACCGTGATCGATGATAAAAGAGTGATAAAAATACGGGTATTTCGGTGATCAATAAGTCTTTTTAGGGAGTTTAATGAAGTTTGTTCCGTTCAAACAACAGAATATGAAAAATGTTTTTTTGCGATAGCTTCAAGAACTGGTTTAAAAAATTTCGATTGCAA